ATATCAACAGCTATTATTTCATTTCTTACTATCAAGAAAGGGATGGTAAAACCTACCATTATCAAATCTAGCCGCCGCTATTTTTTATACTACTTTTCTAGTGTGAATACGAAACTATTTCTCAAAGTTAAAATCATGAGAACTTATAAAAATGGCTTTTCTCATATTTTCGTAGCTTGCCAGTAAAGTCATTGAGTTTTGACATTAAAAAAAATTAAATCCAAATTTTGAAAGCGTTTAAAACTTCACATCTTTTGTGATACTAGTCACAAACTAAAAACATGTACACTAGATTTTAATAAGAATAATATTTTTCTTAGTGATTAAATCATACAAAACAAAGGCTAACATCTGCATCAGATCAAATATATTTTGACAAACTTATTTCGTTTTAGAATAAACTCATCTGCAGTTCATCTCAATATTTTTCAGAGAAAAAAAATAGTCACGATATTTTGAATAGGCATGCACCAAAACCGTTTTGGTCACTTCTGCCCAAACAAGGAAAAATGCCCTTATTTACTGAACCATGCTATACAACAGTTTTTCTTCAGTGAAAAACTTAAGTAGGAGGATGACACTATAGAATACCAAAAGAGAGATTTCGGCAACCTTCTTAGACTAAATACTAGAGTCACTCACAAAACCCAAACCCAAACCCAAACCCAAACTCATTGAGTTTGGGTGTGGGGGGTTGTTCAGTTCTCTTTGAATATCTCATTTAATGAAGCAGCTCATTTGATCATTTTCCATTTAGTTGTCAAAGGCAGACTTCCTTCAATATTAATGGCGATACAGTTTATTGATACAGTTCACAGTCAGTGAGATAAGTTTAACATACCCAAATTCTTCTATTGAGTTTGGGTGCATGCCTAATTTTGAAGGTCGGTTTATCATAATAAATTTAATTCACTAGAATACATCTGGTCTCACATAGCTTTTTATACTGAATATAAATATATTATATACTTTGTTCTTAGAATCAACTATAGTTATGAAGATTACTAAAATCATGCACTATTGTTACGATTTTTCATTATTTGAATAGTGATGTGAGAAAACGTTCTTTTTAAAGTCTCGGTTGTTAGGATCTTAAATAATATGAAATACTATATTTCATTTCTTTTTATGAAAAATCAAATCGGTCAATTCAAATGGTAAAAAATAATTTAGGCATTGGATAGATTTCACTATTTAAAGAAATATTAAAAAAGATTTTCTCTCATAGTTGTTATAGAAATAGACCTTTGAAGAAGTAATTAAGATAGCAATTATTATGGTTAATAAAGTGAGAGCCTTTAAAAAGACCAGTTTAAGACAATAGATGATAACAGAAAAATTCAAACGTTGTGGCAGCTTTCATAAAAAGAACATTTCTACAATGATAAAAAACAGCATTAATGACAATGACATGAAGTCAGTTCGTTAGGAGTCTTCGAATGCCGAAGCTGTCAGTGTATTCGATTCAGTTTGTACCATATAAATACAAAATATAAATCGTAATGCGAAATTCTAAACACTTATAATGTGTAATTGCGTTTTCATCTTAGTTGTTGCAATCAGAAAATAGACATAAATTGTTTAAAATGACATTGCAAGGAGTTAACTCGTGCAATATTTCATTTATTTTGTCGTGATTCACAAAAAAATTTTGATTCAAAGAGAAGAATGGTAAAAAGGTGTTGTTGAGTTTTTGTCTATTCCCGTCTTTCCAATTGCAAACTATTATATCAAAAGTGGGTGTGGGTGTGGGTGTGGGTGTGGGTGTGGGTGTGGGTGTGGGTATTGGTATTCTAATCTCTCACATCCACACCCACACCTCACACCCACACCCACACCCATCCACACCCACACCCACACCCATACCCACACCCCACACCCACACCCATACCCACACCCACACCCCACACCCACACCCACACTCGAATACAATTTAGGGGAAATATGCCAGAGGAGATATAAAAACTGAGAACTAATCTTATCATATAAACATAATTACAATTGCATCAGAATAGATTGCTAAAAAATATTACTAGAAACTTAGGGTCACTTTTAGACATGTTAGCATACGAAAGTCCTGACTTGTTCGCAGCCCACATAATTTCTAATAAACTGATTAAGAAATTTAAGATATCAATACAGTCTTAGACAAAAATAGGAATGAGTATGAAAAAAGAATATTGAGCCGTCGAGAGGTTAGTCCGAAATAGATTTTAAAAGGAAACAACGAGGGCATTTATGACGATGCATCTAACGACCTAGGGTCGTATCTAGTGGGCCACTTCGCGTTACTCTAAATCCTAAACATAGAAGGTAGAGAGTTGTAATGGTCAACTTCAATATTCCAATGACACTCTAAAACACTCCATAATACTTTTACTCAAATTTTCAAGTCATGATATGAACCAAAAAAAAAATATTTGTCATAAAATTCATTGTTGTTATTATTGTAACGAATTTTTAATTAATTATTCATGATCATAAGGTAACCTTCAATCAGCGACGGGCTATACAATAAGTAAAGTTCCATTGTAGCCTACTCAATCATTTCAATTTTCTAAAGAGACTTTTTTGAGATATTTACTGATATAGATAACGATATAGTTTTTCAAAGTTTCAACTAGGATGTTTGCCCCGCGTGATAAGTCAGTAACACAATATGCTTATCTTGTCAACTATATATAGCACAAAAAATTGTGAATTTAAATTGAAGAACGAAAAGAGAAGGTATTTTTTGTCAATGGGTGCTTTGTTTACATCGTTTTTTTTTCTGTGAATTAATCATATACTGTCTATTGATTTTACCTGTTTCCATAGATGAGTCAAGTGGGTGATGAAGAAATCGACCAACAGTTGGACCCGTCTAGAGCAGACCGTTTGTTCAATAAAACGAATAGTTTACGTGTCATGGAACGTCACCGTATCCTTCGAAATGTTGTTCTTGTTAGGCTTGAACCGAATATTGATACAAGAGACACAGAATATCAATATTTACAAACGCAATTATCAAATATCCTTGACACCATTGAGATGTGCACTGATCCAGATCAATGCATAAATCTTTGTAGTGACTTCAAAGATGCAAGAGTACTAGTGATAGTACCAGACACGTTCGCTCAACAACTAATTCCTCATCTTTGCAATATGCTTCAGGTGCACTCTATTTATATACTTTGCAGAAAGGAATCATTTTCTGAACAAGTAACGGAAACGAAACCTAAAGTGAAAGGATTTTTTCATACGATTGAAGATACTTATAAAATGATTTATCAGCAAACAAGACAATGTGAGCATGACTCCGTCCCAATCAGTATTGTTTCTTCGGGTGCTTTCTCGAATCAAAGCCTTAACGAGCTTGAACCACTGTTTATGTATTCTCGATTGGTTAAGGAGATATTATTCGGTATGGATCGTGATTTACATACCAAAGAACGATTTGTAAAATATCTACGCGAACGATATCAAACTAATCCTGCAAATTTACTTATTATCGATGAATTTGAACAAAACTACCGACCGGCTTCTGCGGTCTGGTGGTACACACGAGGTTGCTTCCTCTTTCAAATGCTAAACCGAGCTCTTCGAGTTATGGATAGTGATATAATAATTAAAATGAGTTTCTTTTTATATGATCTTCATCAACAACTTGAACAGTTGCATAGTTCTCAATCAGTCACTTCTATCCCTGGTGTAGTATACCGCGGTCAAGGAATGACTCGAAATGATTTTGACAAGCTTCGTAGAGATATTGGTGGGCTGATATCTTTCAATGCATTTACATCGACGAGTACTGATAAGCAAGCCTCTTATTTTTTCTGCCCAATACCACCACAAGATCCTGATACGGTACCTATTCTATTCGAAATGACAATCGAACCATCTCTGCAATCGGCAACATTTGCCTTGCTGAATAATGTCAGCTACTATTCAGATAATGAAAATGAAGTCTTATTTTCCATGCACACAGTCTTTCGCATTGAAAATGTCGAAAGCATTGACGATGTTTTTTGGCAGGTTAAACTGACATTAACCAATGATGAAGATCCAGTTCTTAAACGTTTAGGTGAACGAATAAAAGAAGAAACATTGGGATCTACTGGATGGAGCCGTTTGGGACAGCTACTTATTCAAATGTGCCATTTTAATGAAGCCAAGGAAGTCTATCTAACATTGATGGAATCATTATCATGCGATGATTATGAAGGATTGGGAAATTGCTATCATCAGCTAGGAGTAGTATCGAGTGGAAAAGCCGATTACATTGAAGCTCTGCATTGGTATCAAAAAGCAATTGAGTTTTATAAACAGGAGTCTCCAGAAAATCACATTGCGATAGCTTCTGTGTACAATAATATCGGTGCAATCTATTACAAAACTGGAGAATTTGCTAAAGCTCTTGAATTCTATGACAAGACTTCAAACATCTTCCATAATATTCTTTCTTGGAATGATCCAGCACTAGGTACACTTTATAACAACATAGGCTCAGTGTGTGAGTCGTTACAAATGAACACAGAAGCGCTTGAATTTCATCAAAAATCATTACATATTCGGCAGGAAATTTTACCACCGTTTCATCCAAGTTTAGCTAAAACCCATCGAAACATCGCTGCTGTATATGAAAGGTTAGGAGAGTTTTCTAGAGCATTGGAATTTTATGAGAAAGCACTTCAAATTCAAGAAAAGTCACTCCCGCCAAAGCATCATGATCTGGCTACAACTTACAATAACATCGCTACAGTTTATGATAATATGGGAAACTATACAGAAGCATTAAAGTATTATGAACAAGATCTTCATATTGCTCTTGAAATATTTCCTAATCATCACCAAACTCTAGCAGCTGTTCATCAGAACATGGGTGCAGCTTACGATCGAATAGGTGAGTATTCAAAAGCGCTTTGCTTCTTGCAGAAGTCACTAGAAATTCGTCAGCGATCACTGCCTGATGACCATCCTACTATGGCTCCAATTTATAATAATATGGGATCGGTCTATGATCACATTGGTGAATCTTCGAAAGCATTGGAGTATTATCAAAAAGGACTTGATATTTACCAAAAAATACTCCCATTAAATCATTCTGATTTAGCTGCCAGTCTCAATAATATCGGATCTCTTCATGATACTATGGGTGACTATCCGAAAGCATTGGAGTATTACCTAAAATCACTGGATACCAAGCGAATATCTCTACCTTTGCATCATCCAAGTTTAGCTACTACCTATAGCAATATTGGAGCAGTATATGAAAATATGGGAGATTATTCAAAAGCTTTGGAGTTCTACGAGAAATCCTTGGATGTGTATAATCAATCTTTCGATAAGAATCATCCAAATTTAGCTGTTATCTACAGTAATATGGGTCACCTGTATGGGAAAATGGGAAAATATTTAGAAGCACTTGATTTCTACGATAAGTCATTAAAAATTCATCGAGCAATGTGCAGCTCTAATGACACAATCGAATTAGCTACTCTCTATAATAATATTGGATTGATATACAGTAATATCGATGAGCATGCGAGAGCTCTTGAGTACTTTGAAAAATCTATGGAAATTAAACAAAAGATACTTCCTCAAAACCATGCCAGTCTAGCCACAACCTATAACAATATCGGTTTAGCCTACGAGGGTATGGTAGAATATTCAAAGGCACTTGTGTTTTATCAAAAAGATCTTGAGATCAGTCGAGCTACTCTTCCAGCGAATCATCCTGATATAGCCACAACATTGGGTAATATTGGATCCTTATATTGCGAAATAGACGAACACTGGAAAGCATTAGATTACTATCAAAAAGCTCTGGCTATCGCAGAAAAATCGTTACCTTCTGATCATCCGGATCTACAACAACATAGAGAGAACCTAGAGATTCTCAAGCACTATTTGCAAGAAGTTTAATTAATCTTTGCTAGCTATAAAATAAGCTTCCTAAATAATTTTTAAAAATAAATTAAAATGCACGTTAAAAATGAAATATGAAATATAAGTTATTTCCTACAAAGGGAAAAAAGCGGATCCTTTCGGATCCTAGGATCCAAAAGAATCCAACAGGATTCACAGGATCCGATAGGATCCAAAAGGATCCATAGGATCCAGAAGGATCCAAATGAATCCGTAGAATCCGAAAGAATCCAAAAGGATCCGTTAGGATTTATAGGAATACAATACAATGTCAGTGAAAAAATCAGAAAATTAATGATTGCTTCATAATAAATTAAAGATATTCGATAACGCCTTCAACAGACCCTGGTTTGTAGCGATTCTTAAAAACTTTCGCCCACGTGTATTTCATAGGTTTCGTTCGAATATAGCACTTAATGGTAAGTTAGAAAAGAAAGTGAGGACTAAACTTATGACTGCTGTTTATCGGTCATTTTGACTGATGAAATTCTATTAGATCATAAACGACTTTTATGAACGCTCAATAGGGTTGCAGTCCTTTGCTCCTGTGTGATATGACGTTTGTTGTTAATAAGTTTCAGAATAACTAATGTTCATTTTAGAGACGAATAGGCGAGGATACTATTTGCGTAACCTGAAAATGATATGAATTAAAGAGCTAAGATTTTACCAATATTTAGTCAGGACTTTGCTCTCTCTTCTTGAAATGTCGATAAAAGTCTTCAATTCTTCTCACGTATTGAATACAGCATGAGTTTTGAAGATGAACTGAATCTAAAATAAGAATAATATGCTTTGTTGATCCAACCATAATGAACAGATAGTCTAATTGTGCGTGCATCGACCCATGAAAGACTGCCATAGGTAACTGTTTGTGTTCCAAAAAGAAAAGCATTACACTAAAATTTATTTATCGAGCCTTTTCAAAGCCTGACTGGATGATAAACCTTGCCTTTTCTAACTATTGAGGCGTGTTTGATCCCGTGAC